ATTTAACATAGACACAGCTGAAGTAAAAGTAATATTTCAAAAAAAAACTATAAGTTTACCCCATCCCAATTTTATCATTTCTAAAAGAATTCATTAAATGAGTATGTGGACAAAAAGGTTTTGCCAGTGATTTTTTTTTACCTTTTATAATTTTACCAATTTATTGAATATATTTGTTATCTTTTCAACCGACTTCAAAAAGGAGGAGGTTCTCAATTCGACTGTATGTTTTTTTTTTTTTGTTACCTCAGAACTCCGTCATTTCTAAACCGATTTGGACAATTTTTGTGTCGTTTGAAAGGGTATACTTCCAGATTGGTCCCATTTAAATTTCAAAAAAAAAAATACCACCCCTAAGGGTGGAAAAACTACTAATGATGAATTTAACCTACTTCTAATTGTCATATTGACTTGAAACTTTGCAAGTATTTCTATTTCCGTTGATAGTACAGTGGTTCGGTGTTGTTGACCTGATCTGATGGCAAGGCCAGAAGGTGGATAGGTGGAACTCTTCAACGGCTAATAGTAGATACTTTGAGTTTGGGCTTATTTTGTTTGATTTGACAAGCCTAACACGTTAGAATCCTTACTTTTCTACTACTGTCTACACTAAAAAGGGAAAAATAAAAACTTTTTAACAAAAAAATAAAAACCGACTTCAAACAAAAGCACTAAAAAGTAAAAAATAACTGATTGGTAGTTTTCATTTACTATACATACCTAATCAAATATTTTCGAAGTCGGTGTGCTTTGGCTAAGTAATTAGAGCCTACCTATTAAATACATACCTAATCAAATATTTTCGAAATCGGTGCCAGCCCATACAAAGCAAAGCACACCGACTTCGAAAATATTTGATTAGGTATGTATAGTAAATGAAAACTACCAATCAGTTATTTTTTACTTTTTAGTGCTTTTGTTTGAAGTCGGTTTTTATTTTTTTGTTAAAAAGTTTTTATTACATTGAGGACCTTATAATATGTAATTTCCGATTTTCATTTTATTTCGCAGCAAAATAAAGATATTGTAAGCGTCGAAGCTGTCAGAGCGGTATTCATAAATTTTTCACGCTCTCTCGAACTGCCAGGATGCCTTCGACACAACCTGACTTATACGTCGAAGAAAGTACCTACTATAGTATATAAATATCTTTGAGTAACGATTTGTTTGTTTTGCTTTTGTAAATAAGTATATAATATTGCTAATATTTTTTTAACTGACTCGAAAAGTCAATTCGGTTTGTATGTTTTTGTATGGATTTTTTCTATACTTGTCTTCTGCATTGTATTAAAAAATTGAGAAAAACATGTATGAATATAACTTATCTATATATTGTAATACTAGCGTTTTCCTTCGGCTTCGCCTGCATAGTACATTAATCACTAACATATCATATACTATATACTAAAACCTTCTCCGAAACACGCTGCATCTTATGGTATGAGTATTATTCCGATCGGTTCAGTAGTTATCGCAGAGTAACCGAACAAAAAAATCGGCTCTCCATTTATAAGTATAGATTGAGTTAGATAATATATAAAAATCGTCTTTTTCCAAAAAAAATTTCTTTTCCTAGTTAAAGCAAACTAACAAAATTTTCAGCAAATGTCTAACAATGTTGATTGTTAAATTGACTTTATTCGGAATTTTTCTATGTATAATATTTGTTATAATGTAAAAGAATAAAAATGAGAACATTTTGTCGGCATTATGAGTCACAATTCACTCAAATTGATTCCAGATTTAATATGTTGTTTTAGATAACGCTTATATATGAGTATCAGATATCTACATAGACTTTGTTAGACGAAAGGTATGTTTTTAAGCAATGGCGGGATTGCGTTATTATAAGCCTTTTATTTTATATTAAAAATTTAAATATATCACAACGGAAAATATAAGATACAACACAACTGAAATAAAACGATTGAAATCACACTTATTGAATGAATAAATGTGAAACTATATTCTGGATCAGTTTAGGCTACGTTTTGATACCTCCCACGAGAGCAGAGCTGCGACCAAAAAGTAGTACAAAGGAAAATTTCAAAGTCAAAAATATTTTGAACTATTTCACTAATGGCAATTATAGCTCAACCTAAAAAACTTGATAACAAAAAAAATAATAATAATCTACAAAGTGAACCCTCCGCGTTCGTCGAGTGTGGGCACACAGTGTAAAATTAACCGGTGATTTCAAAGGCGCCGACAATCCTTTGATCGTGCCGCTATTGTCTCCACGTGTTTTAAAACCCTTTTAAGTCTTTATTTCGTGTTGTTATGTTAAAAGTTTATGCTGTTGATGGTCGTTTAAGGAACGTATTCGTAATGGATAGTTTGTAACTAATAATAAAATGTATTAATCTTTGAAGTAATTTATGTACATAAAATGTTAAAGATTTTGTTCTGGACATCGAATTTTCAAGTTATAGTATTAGCACAGCTTCTTTCTACTAAGCAAAATAAAATTGTATTGCGAAAAATGTAGATAGGTTTAAGTTTAAGTGTATACGTTAAGTCTACGTTATATGAGATATTACAATATTTTTTATAAATAATGAAATATACAAAGATCTGAGGCGATTGCCAAAAATCAAATAAAATAAAACATTAAAATGACGGCTTCACAAACAAACAAAAAGTATCACATTACCCATATGTAAAGTGTGTATTAAAGTGTAAACTTCAAACAAAGTCTGGGGCTGGATGCGATGTTAACACGTGTCATTAAAAATGAAGTGATGTGTAAAAAAGTTATTTTTGCCTATAAATAGTTTATCGGCGGAAGTGTGAAGGGTTGTGACGATGGCGCGGAGTGACCGCTTTGATCTTTACCATTTGAAGATTGCGCCGCTCGTTGCTATTTAACTTCAGTATGTTTCCGGTGTCGTCAATTATAATATTATATGATGTTAAAAAGCAAATTAAAATGTCACTTATTTTTATATTATTTAATACTAGCGACTCACCCTCGTTTCGCTCGGGTTCGTCCCTAGCTTGATTCCCCATACAAACTTTCATCCCCAATTTCACCCCCTTGAGGGATGAATTCCGGGATAAAAGTATCCTATGTCCTTCCCAGGGCCTCAAACTATCGTCTTACCAAATTTCATCTAAATCGGTTCAGTAGATCCAGATATTACCCCTTACAACGTCACAAACTCACAAACTTTACCTTTTTATAATACTAGTATAGATAAGTAGGCAAAAACAAAACGAACAGTTTGTCAACCGATTTTCTTTTTTTTTTGTTTAATAGCTAAAGCTTTTTTGTTTAAGCAAAAACAATTGAACAAAGTTTTTTTTATATGTATGTAGGTATATAGAAAAAATCTATTTATTTATGTTTATGTTTTCCTATAAATTTCAATACTAATTTTGGTCGAATTCCGATCACTGAGCGAACATAAGTACTATTTAATTTATAATATACATATAATTAAATCTGCTATCTATCTAGCTACGAAACTATTTCACCTGTTCTTTTTTTATTTGACACCTTACAAATGACAAATGAAACGTGGTTGAATTCTTAAATGTATTTAAGTGGCATATGAAGTATAAGAGACAATACCTATTTTATTTTGTGTATGACGTGTGTATGACGACGCGTGTGGCTCAGTTTGTAGTGACCCTACTTGCTGTGCCAGCGGTCGCGGGTTCGAGTCCCGCTGGGGGCATTCATTTGTGTGATGAGCACGAATGCTTGTACTCCAGTCATGGGTGTTTATATTTATAATATGTATGTATTTAAAGTTATATATTTGTAGTGTATCAACTATCTGGTATCCATAACACAGGCCTCGTAGCTCACCATGGAACTAGATGGTGACGTGTGTTAATGTCCCAATATATTTATTTTATATTTATTTTATTAATTCAAGCTCTAAGTCGGCGCTAAATTGTGTTCTTTATATTTGATAGAAAATAACCGTTTAGGATTTTTCCAACTCAAAGGAGTTACATAAGTAGTTGTTATCTATCTATACACATAATAAAATTGTAACTAATCCGAATCTGTACATTATCTATTTTTTAGAAAATCTTATTGAAATAAACATTATTATCGATACAGAGGCCGAATCTATAGTTTTTCGAATTTTTGTCTGTCTGTCTGTTACCACATTACGGAAAAACCACTGGAGGGATTTTGATGAAATTGGGTATAACGGTAGCTGTTTACGATATAAGATACTTTTTACTGCGGGAAAATATCTCATCTCAGAAATCTATGCTAAACGTTAAAACGTATTTATAAACGTAACGTTATTATAAATTTCGAAGTAAACAAAGTATTGTGCAAACTTTTTATTAACCCCTTTTCTTGTAACATAATATTGAGGATATTGTAAACTTTTATATCCTCTTTGTTTATTTGCATAACGGTAACTGCTTAGTTACAAATATATCTTTAGTTTTATTGCGGTGTTCTAAAACCCTTGCACTTTTACTACTTGTGTACAATATAATAATATATAATTTTGAATGGAAACAAGACAGTGGATTATATTATGAGGTTATTTAAAAAAGAGATCTTTTGTTCAAGAAATACAATAATTGTTAGGTGTATTATTAACATGTTATCAGCGACATTTTGGGGTTGAATTATAAATTCTAGTAACTTTTAGAGTACTGAAGAAATATTTGCTTAATTTTGCGGTTGTTTTTTCTTAATAAAATAAGTTCGCGTTCCAAAATTCGATAACAACCTCTCTTCTCGTTAAGTCATATGATTGCAATCATTCTTAATTCAATTGTCATCATACATTTATGTATTACATATAATACCATGTTAAATTTAAAAAAAATACACTGCCTGAAAAAAGTTTGTATATGTAAAAAGTACGATACCAGCATTATAATAGTCTTTGATTTTCCCATAGTATTCAGAAGATTAGATTGGTGTGAATTTTACCAAAGCTATTAAATTGTAAAATAAAAGTCAGAAACTTAGTGAATATGTGTTAATTTGTAAGAAATTGTTTATGAGTTTTACAGCCATGAGAAGCAGAGTTATAGTGAACTCGTTGCTTTTGACCGTTGCCGACGGTTGGGTATAACGAATTAAAAATAGACATAATGCTAAATGTAGAGTCGATAAATAATGCGGTTTTTGCGATATTTCTATAATTATTCCATATTTGAAAATAGTAATTCCACGTTTGCGAGTAATTGTTAATGTTATAATGTTTATTGAAAACCAAGCGCTAGGTTAAAGTACAAAAGTTAGTTATTACCATTAAAAAAACAATAATTTGAAAGAAGTTTAAAAGGGTAAGTTATAAAATATATAGTAATCTAGCTGTTTATTAGAACGATGTAATAGAATTATTTCTAAATATCCTGAGTTTTTCGTATTCAATTACGAGAATTGTTAATTTTTAGTACGTTTCGTATAATTTACATATATTTAGATGAAATCGACTCGTATTCGATATTTTATAAGGCTATATCCGCTCTATGTAGAGATTCGGGATCGTAATAATTATTATAGCGTTTAATAATAAAGCCAATCAAGTTGTGATAGCTTTGAGTGAAGATGAACCTCGCCGGACTCTATATGTGATTGATTTATCTATTAATAAAAATTGTAAAAAAAATTAAAATCCCAGTTTTAATATGAATATAAAATGTTCCATTATGATTTATATCTTCAATGCTTTTTATATTGAATGTTCATTAATTTTTAAATGTATACGCTTACACCTTAATTATGGTAATTTGATTTTTAATATATGTATATGTATCTATACGTGAATATCATTAGGTACATTTTTTTTAAAAAAAAGGTTTCACTTGAAAATTGCTTTATACAAAAATTAAAGTGTTATTTCTTACTTCTTTGGGATGATATTTTTTGAAATTTATAGAGATCATGTTTGATACATAACTTAGTTTTTAAAAAGAATAACGAAAATCGATTTTCAATTAGCCAATAAAAAATAGAGTCGAATTGAATTCCTTTTTTTTGTAGTCGGTCAGAAAAAGATTAAAAATACAGATGCTTATCTTTAACAGAGGAAGTGTCTTTTTGGTCCTGTCTAGCATCGTCATAAGTAATTATGCCGCTTGAAATACTTATTGTAGACTAACATTGCCCGCGGCTCCGCCCGCGTTCAGATGACCAAAAACCAAATTCTTAGATTTTACATATTAGTATAGACTTACATGGCAGTATTTGCATTTTTTCTCAGAAATGAGATATTATCCCGTGGTTTACCACGTACAAAAAGTATCCTATATGTTGACCCGGATAACCAGCTATCACCATACCAAATTTCATCAAAAACCCTCTAGTAGTTTTTCTGTGATGCGGTAACAGACAGACAGACAGACAGAAAGACAGGCAGACGGACAAAAATTCTAAAAACTATAGATTCGGCCTCTGTATCGATAATAATGTTTATTTCAATAAGATTTGCCAAAAATTATTTAATGTACAGATACGGCTTAGTTACAATTTTATAATATGTATAGATATAGATTGTACGGTTACTCGCAAAGCAAAAAGCGTCAAAATTTGAAGAAGAACGTATAGACTTTTGACAACATTTCTAATTTATTTTATTCTTTGAATAATGTATGTTCAGAAGCATGTCAGGAGTCGCTCATTTGAATACAGAGCATGAGTCCACTAAACATCACCCTACCCACTTGTTTTTGTATGACACCACATTGTACCTACATAGTAACCTTCCTTCCGAATTGTATTCGAAAACCTGTTGAATATGTAGAGCTTAAGGCGTTAAAGTGGCAATTGAATTTATTATCTGATATGAAATTTTATCACGCTAATTTTCCTATAGATTTGGTTCAAGAATTGATGGTGCGTTTACGTTGTTTTTTATTTTAGAAATTTCGCAAGGTTTTTTAATTATATAATGTATATAAAGTGCATGATTTATCTATACGTATAATAAAATTGTAAGTAAGCCGAATCTGTACATTAAATATTTTTTGGAAAATCTTATTGAAATAAATATTATTATCAATACAGAGGCCGAATCTATAATTTTTTGAATTTTTGTCTGTCTGTCTGTTACCGCATCACAGAAAAACCACTGGAGGGATTTTAATGAAATGCTAGTTCACTATAGGAATTAATGAAATGAAAAAGATGGAAAAAAAGAAAGTAGTGAGTTTTACCACGATTGCGTGGTAAAACTCACTACTTTCTCCCATCCTGGCCCATAAAATATTTCGACGGGATAAGTGTAAAATCGATATTGATATCACTCTAACTTTTATCACGCTTGAAGATTTTTAATATTGAATCCCTTTAAAACTTATAAAATAACCAATACCTTAAAGAAGATCATGTAAATCCAAAAAACAAACATATACCTACTCGAAAAAAGTACGCTCTTCTATAAATTCAAACAGTGAGTGTTCAATATATATATATACAACGTGCGACAAAGTGCTTGTTAAAGTTTATTTTTAATGAAGTATATATTTTAATACCATTGATTTCCAAAAGAAGTTAATTTAGCTTAGACATGAAATGACTGGTAGTCATATTGAAAATAATTTGCATAAGAAAATATCAAAAACACTTAGTTTCTCATGCGATCGAATTATTTCTAAGCTGGCTATTTTGATTTGGATATTTATATGTATTAAAATACGTTTTTTAGGATTTTGCTGTAGATATTTACAGTTTCTGTGATTGTAAATATGATACTAGTGTATAGACTTGTTTTAAGAGACGCTAGTGCGTCTCAAAACAAGTATCCCACGGGAACCGTACATTTTTCTAGGATAAATAGCCTATGTGCTATTTCAGAAAATAATCTATCTTCGTGTCAAATTTCATCCAGATCCGTTCAGTCGTTCTGGCGTGATTGTGCAACAAACATCCATCCAATCATCTAAACTTTCACGTTTATAATATTAGTAAGACTACGTTGTAATATCGCGATATAACACCAAAGACATGAATATTATAACTCCTAAGAATCGACACAGCAGGGGCCTGTATTAACACCTCTTCGAACACCGGGGAGTCTCGTCATGTGGACAGTGCACTACCGCAGAACAATAAGTTATGAAATGTTTTTGTACACTTCTTCTATAAATACTGTGTAAATTATATCGTATTATAAAGCTGATATTAATTTTTGAATCAGTTTGAATTGAATGCGACTTTTTTCAAGTTTTAAGAAATGTACCTAAAGCTAAGTTTATATAATCAGTACCTGGGCTACCGAGCTTCGCTTGGAGTTTTTGGCCTAAAGTTATTTTTTTTTTAACTAAAAACTTGAATAAATATAAAAAAAAACAAAAGTAAAAACTTTATATCCGACCGGGATTCGAACCCGGACACCTATGATTGTCAATCTTGCACCTTGGCCGCTTGACCATAATGCTTATGCCCGTGCGTAATTATCGAACATATTTTCTTTCGTGGAATAATGCGAAAGAAAAGCACATGAAAATTCGAAAGCACGCGTTTTCCCAAACATAAGACTAATCTAGATCGATTTATCGGCCCCGAAACCACCTGTGTACATGAAAATCATTGGAGCCGTTATATATATATATATATATATATATATATATATATATATATATATATGTTAGTTTCAAATTACAAACTTCAAGGGCATGTCGAAAAAATAATTCCCAATATTTATAAAAGTCCTTGTTGTTGCGAAAATCTCGTTGGAGCTGAACGTTATAGTTTTTGCGTGACGAGTCCGGGGCTGGCATTCCTGCCAAATTGTACCGCTGTAGTACTGTGACCATGTATGTTCTAACGGCAAATCTAAAAATAAACTTGGAAACAATAAAATTAGAAAATTAAAAATTTGTATTTTATTTTAAAGTCTCAAATGTCAAAACAGAATGTGACAATTTTTTTCTTTAAAATCGAATTTATACGTTTATGTGTATTTGACTATTATAGTAATATCATTATTACGACGATACAAAGTCAATAGCAAAAAGCAAGAAAGAGTATAATAATTTATTAATCTTCAAAGCAGCAAAAGTACAGCGTATAGTTTGATATTAGAAGTTATAAAACTTATAATGTTTATCTTCAATACTTTAGACGAATGGATCCCCTACAAGTCCAGAAAGCGTCCTTGTTTTTGCCAAACACTGGTAAATTCATTTAATTGTGTCTACGACCCCGCGCCACGCCAGACGCGCGGTAATTGTGCCAGTCATCGGCTTTTTGGCCTCCTCCAAAGGTTCTAATTCGACTGCCATATTTTCTTTGGCACGATAATTATACCGTTCGTATTTAATAGGTTAATAAAATTCTAATAATTTTCACAACAGCTTTAAATTTTCTAATTAGATAGTGGTCGTAAAAAGTTAATTGTTTTTAATGTAAGTTGCTATCAGATATCAAAGCCGAGTGTAACTAAATAGCTTTCTAGTAATAAAATACTGGCTGTACGTATAGATGCGTTGTGTTGGGTTGATACGTGCTCGAGTGTTGGCGAGTCAGTCAGTCGAGTCATAAGAACATCGTAAATATTAATTAATTTGGCACAAGTGATAGTCGGTCGGCAGATCGGTAGTTATTCAGCGGGCGCTTCCTGCACATTTGCATTTGCCGTCAATCGCCCGCCGCCATATCTGACGTATTCATTACAATACTCGCCCCAATGTACGTGGGATGTGGTCTAATCAAATTTCACTGGCGATTTTTCGTTAAAATTATTGCTTATATATATTTTTGACGATATATATTGTATTAATATATCAAATATATCTGTAAAAATATTTTAAATGTGAAAGTTTGTGAGTATGGATGTTTGTTACTCTTTCATGTTATTACGGCTGAACGGATCTGGATAAAATTTAGCACAGAGATAGATTGTAGTCTGAAATAATACAAAGGTTACTTTTTATCCCGGAAAGATATATAGTTCCCTTGGGATACGTTTGTTCTAGGAGAGCTACAATGGACCTAAACTGGTCGACGTAGCTAAGGGCCGACCTCGGCACCACACCCAACACAATAATAATAATACGTTTGTTCTTGTTTTCCTAGAGGCGAACCCGAGCGAAGCGAAGTTGAGCCGCTAGTCTAATATATATAATAAAAATGTATTAAAATCATAGTAGGTAGCCATAATTATCCAAATCAAGATTAGATACAGAAAAATGGAAGAAAAGAATAATTCACATTAATATATTTTATTCCTTGTCGTGCAGGGCAAAATGGAGGGCAACAGAGTACAAAGAAGATCAATCAGGCGGTGAACCAGAGTGCGCTAAGATGTTGGCCGACAGGAAGAAGTGGCGAAGAATCGTGAAGCGTATCACATCACGTGATGTCCACGACTGCTCCGCCAAGAGTGTCACGAAGAAGAAAAAGAATATTTTATTCTGAAATAACAAATACAATTAAAAAACATGAAATTCAACTGGTATAATTATAGGGGATATTTGCTGTACATTTGTATATTTAGAAAAACAGATAATATAACTACGTATTACATACATACAAATATAGAATATAATATAGTATATATTCTTCTATTACATATATACAATAAATCTCTGAAAAATTGGATCGGGACAGTGTGAAAAAAATCGAAAAACCAAAGTTATTGGCATAGTGACAGACTTCGCAAGCTGAAGTGGCAGTGGTGGTGGTCACGCTTGTCACAAAACCGATGACCGATGAAGTAGACGGATTGTAGAGTGGAGACCACGGTTCGGGAAACTTAGTGTAGGACGCTCTCCAGCTAGCTGGAGCGACGATATAATATACAAAGCGGCTGGCAGCGGTTAGATGCGTAGAGCTGAAGATCGAGCTCAGTGGCGTGCCAAGGAGAGGCCTATGTCCAGCAATGGACCAAAGCAAGCTAAACTATGTTGATGATGATGATATCATACAAAGCCTGTTTGAAAACATTTAAATAATCGTTATCTTCTAATCTAATACTTGGCTATCGTTTGGGCCGTTTTGTAAGAAAATGGCTATGATACAATTTATGCAATATTTTTGTCATTATCTTATCCCTTATCAGAGGCACTATTAAATATCGTTTCTCTAAATTTTAGATATGGAAATGTGTATTTGTAATAATATGTTGAACTAGATACATGATGATTAATATAAAAAGTAAATACTAATAACTTTTTAATTTACTAGCATTGCCCGCGTCTCCGCCCGCGTTCAGATGACCAAAAACCAAATTCTTAGGTTTTACATATTAGTATACTCTTATATTGCAGTTTTTGTATTTTTTCTCAGAAATGAGATATTTTCTCGCGGTAAAAAGACCCGGATAACCAGCTATCACCATACCAAATTTCATCAAAATCCCTCCAATGGTTTTTCTGTGATGCGGTAACAGACAGATAGACAGATAGACAGACAAAAATTCTGAAAACTATAGATTCGGCCTCCGTATCGATAATAATGTTTATTTCAATAAGATTTTCCATAAAATATTTAATGTACAGATTTGGATGTACAATTTTATTATATGTATAGATTATAAAAAGATATCGACCAACACATATGGAAATGATAGTTTTCGTCTATGATTTAAACACTGATTAAAGAACAATAATTTATTTTTAAAGCTAATAATTGAAATCAAATTGCATAATTTAGACATATTTTATTACACATGTATATATAATTTTATACAAAAATATATTATGTCACACAATCTATCTATACGTATAATAAAATTGTTACAAAGCCGAATCTGTACATTAAATATTTTTTGGAAAATCTTATTGAAATAGACATTATTATTGATACAGAGTCCGAATCTATAGATTTTAGAATTTTTGTCTGTCTGTCTGTTTATCTGTCTGTTACCGCATCACGAGAAAACCACTGGACAGATTTTGATAAAATTTGGTATGATGATAGCTGGTTATCCGGGTCGACATATAGGATACTTTTTATCGCGGGAAAATATCTCATTTCTGATAAAAAATACAAAAACTGCATTGTAAGAATATACTAATATGCAAAACCTAAGAATTTGGTTTTTGGTCATCTGAACGCGGGCGGAGCCGCAGGCAATGCTAGTGTCAATATAAAAAGCGAGAATTACTTGAAACTCATTAACTCTTATAAATTTGACCAAGCTCTACACCCTATAGTCCACGGTCCACGCATGCGGCCTTAATTAGGCATTCCGCTCTCGTCCGGACTGCGTACGCGCACGGCGGCGCCTTTGACTCGCCCGTCCCTCTCGCACAATGCAACTATTCATATCCATGACCACTCTAAACCAAACCTTTCTGCACTTTCAACATGAAACAAATGCTCTTACATGTGGAGCTCAGGATATAATGGTCGAGATAACCAACCGAGATATACACTCCCGTATAGAATTTAAAGGTTATTTCAAGTGTAGCAGAGTTTGAAATCCGCTGTAATGATGAATTATTAAAGGTGTTATTGGAGTGATGTAATGAAGGGTCCTAATTGTGTATTCTACTTGGGATGTCTGAAAGATAAAAGAATAAGCGATAAAGGCCATTATGTATCCCTTTCGCACATCTTCCGGGATCGATGAAGGGGTGGTACGTTTTCGCAATTCGTTTTGTACTATTTTTTCACTATAAATTATATCAAATATTTAATAATTAAGATTGTATTAGTATTTTATTTAAAATTTGCATCTTTCCCAAGTCGGGAGCTAATTACGCAGTTAGTTGAGTATTAATTGTGTTTTAGCTATACGTCATAAAACAAAACTTCTGAATTGTACTCAGCATCATAATCTAAAGTAAAATACATCCAAATATCCGCTTAATTCGATACTATTATTGTCTGTTCCACAGCGACTCTACAAAATGACCATTGATTAGGCACCTTTCTTTTTTTTTCTTCATAATGCCCTGTTCGAGCGTTCAGAGTTTTATCGAAACATATGCACGGTCAGGACGCACCGGCCGCGGCCGACCGGTTCCCTGCCTTTGCCTTTGAGCCGCCGACTGAGCCGCGCACGAAATTGGAATCAGTCCGCTTCAAACTCTATCGCTAGACGGACGTGCGCACGGTCAACAGAAGTTGTAAACTTTATACGATACAGTGCTGTGTTTTCTTAACTGAATAGTTTAAATATGACAATAAATAAATATTATTTTTTATACTTCGTAACTGTGAAGCAATGATGGCTAGGATTTTCTATGTGTTACTCCTGGTTTGGTTAGTCGCAGCTGACCAGGAGGAGGTAGAAGGTGGCAAGTGCGAGAGGATCAGTCTGTCCCAATGTCAAGATCTTGGATACAATTGGACTGCTATGCCCAATCTTATGGGCCACAGAGATCAAAAGGAAGCTGAGGAAGCGGTAAGTGAAGTTCATATTTATATGTATGTAAAAAAAAAACAATCTAAATACCAAGCAAATAAATAATATTGAATTAAACTTATAACATTTTTTACTTTTTTTATTAAATATTCTTTCAATTACCCTTTATTCTTGCCTTGTTGTATTATCATGACCCCAAACTCTATATTTTAGTTTCGATATATTATAGAGTTGATTTAGTTATTTTTTATATAGTTGTGTTGTTATCAAATATTTTACTATTTTCCCAGTCGACAGTAGCAAAATGTTAAAAAATATCTTTCGCATATCTAACAAGAGTTAAACCATGTTTAAAGGTTATTAAATCCAAAGCCCTATGCTTTGTAGGGGGAGAAAATTTATTGTGTTTTCACAGGGTGGATAAATTTACGAGTGGTGACTAAATAGATTTAACGACTTGTTAAACTGATACTACCGTATCTGTTTTGTGGGGTAGCTGTTCTGTTGTTTGTTGAGGCCCCTTGTTTTTAGATAAGCTCGATTCACACGAGAATTGTGCTGTAATTGATTCAGCGAGGGATGTGTTTATATTCTGTATTCAAACTTACTTTTAAAGAGAATGTGGATTTTGAATTAAAAAGCCGAGTTTGTTATTACAGCTCATATCAAAGAAAGAATTTAGTATTTATTAAATTCGCCACGAATCACGTTCATTGTTTTTGCGTGTATAAACATTTTTTGTGCTATCGTATAATCAAAGGCCGCCGATGTTACACATGTGCTCGTATGACTCAAGTCGCGGACTTCAAAGGTTCTTTTGTTTGCAATATTTTAGCGCTAACCATAAGACATGCGCATTTCCATGAGAATATATTTTTATAATTTGCATTTATAAACGAGAATGGAGCAAAAAGTTTTGTGTTTTTAACATCCGATCTCTATCTCGTCTCTATATAGCGTACCGTTATTTAAATAACGTAGTCATGGCGAATAAATTGTCATTAATTTATTAATCGGCTATAAATTTCAATTAGCAATTGCTAAAATTAAGTATCATGTTGAATAAATTTAATATATTAAAATAATAAATAGTTAATTCGATGCAGCTAGCAAATTGGTTTGCTGAAATGATCAATCGAGCTTATTATTTATTTATTTTCGATACAAGTAGTAAAATCTCGACATAGAAATGGATCCGAACTATCTCAGAATAAAATCCTTTATATTGCAGTGTAACAGATCGTTCGCTTCGTACAAGCCCTTGTCACATGTCTAATCAACCATTCTTTATGACAACGGCCTTCGCCAACTCGCGGATCAAAGACGCCGACCGACCGCGCGATACCAAACAGGTTCGCCGGACCACATTAAGGGCTTTTAAAACTCGATGGCATAATTAATTTTAATTGTGCTGTATTTTTAACATTTTATTCCTTATCCATTGTGAAGTAATTTTTGTTTAGCGATAGTAATAACATTGGACGAGTAATTAATTCGAAAGCTATTAATATTTATGAGATTACGATGGTAATTAATGGTAATATGTTCGTTTCTTATCAAATAGTGTTTTTTTTAATTTTATAATATCTCTACAATTTTTAATATGTTTAAATAGAAAATGTAGAGTTAACAGAGAATATTTTGTAAATTGTGTAATTAATGAAGTAATCTATTTCAGTAATATAGATGTTAAGTCGAATCAATAAGGACCACCGGCATTTCATAAACTATCGATAGCGGTATCTTTGCGAGGAACCATTTATTTTTATTTATATCCCTTATCACTGAGTGGCGATGTGTATCGGTAATGCGATAAGCTTCACAGGCACCGATATATGGACAAAAACGATAAAGCATTTGTTCAATTTTGCTAAGCTGCTGCTTGCTTACACGTGACGGGAATGGTTAAACATGCTCTACTTCATTTGGATAACTAATAGATTTGTAACTCAATTGAAAAAAAAACCTTAATAATAAACGTAAAATAAAAAAAAAAATTATGTCAGTTTTATGGACGTGATGATATTAATTTTGTCATCTTTTAAATCGATATTCTGCAAGGTTGATACATTATTAAAGTATTAATTTTTAACCTTATTTATTTCAAAATTTTTGAGAACCATTAGATATTATCACAATTTATTATATTTCTTTTTTATTTAAAAAATATATTTGTATAAGTTTAACTAAGGATATCTAACAAATTAAGCTCTATCGAGTATATTTTGCCACTTCTAGTCGATTTCAATACTATATTGTAGAGTACAAAAAAAACTTTAGTAAAAATAATATTTGACGATTGTCATACTTTTGCAATGAACTACTAATTACCTCCATGACATATTTATTCAAATTGTATCTATTTATTTCATTGCATTGTGTCACATATATCTAGTCTAACACGTTCGCAGTGTGACAAAATGTAACACTAAAAAAGTGTTATTGTCACCATATATGAAAATTGTTTATTGACTCCTTAGTTTTAATTGTTTAATTCGTAGTCATATTTGGACATACGTATGTCGCTTGCATATTTTCGTCACGTCAAGTGCTACAAGTTAGTAGTATTATTTCTCTCTAATACTTCTTTAACCGTTTTTGTTAAACCACTTAGAGGTTAGTTTACATTATTTATAAGAAAATTTATATATTTTTTTTATTAAAAATACTAGATGTAGTGTTGAGTGTCGTAGTCACTTAGCCGAGTCTGTATTTGATTTACAGTCTTCAATCTTGGCTCTTGCACTACAGCTTGCGAGTTTTAGTCCTATATAAGTTATACTAGGTCTATAGTCTAGGTAGACTAGACATATGTCATTTTTGTTACTTAAAATACTATATCTATTTATATATATAAATTATACTATATCTATTTATATATATAAATTATACTATATCTATTTATATATATATATATATTTTAATTTTGTGAATTGTAAATAATTATTGCGTGGACTAACTACACTAGAACTTGTATTGTAGAAAAGAACATTTTTAATCTCATGACAATTATTGTAGAGTTATCAATCTCAATCGATCCAAATACATATTAATTATAAAACGATAAGCGCAGGAAATTGAATAATCAGTAAAATAGCCAAAGTTACAATAAATTTGACTGACATACATATGTAGTATTACGTTTCGGTAATTTGATTCACTGTAGGATAGAACAAGCCAAAAATATGCTATCAAAACAATAATTGTTTAAAAGTTTTGAGAAGTACTTCAAATTTTTAATTATTTTAATATAAATATATATAGTAAAAATTTCCTTGTCCTGACTATTCAAGTGGTCGCCAGATCAATTCCTGCTTGAAAAAAATGTATTGAAAATGCATATATTTGTACAAAACGTGGAAAAGGATAACAACGATAATGCTACCTCTTGCTTATTACATATCAATCGAAAAAGACTGGAAAAAATGTATATAAATAAAACCAGAGTTATCGATTTATACATACATTAGTTGACGTGATAATACAAGTTTATTGACATGATAATAACAATATAACTCGAGTTATAAAGTTTATCATTACCGATGGCAAAGGAACGAGCATTCGTAAAACTTATAACTATTATTAAACTGATAACTTTGTGTTGTGTTTAAGAATTTTAATATTTTTATATAATACACTAATGACTCACCCACGCTCCGTTCGGGTTCGCCCCTAGTTACTTAAAAAAAGGTAGGAGGGTGAAAGATACTTTACGACCTATTCTCATACCTAGATATTTCATTTCTTAATTTAGTCTTTCATAGTTTCGGAGGAGTGCGACCACAAACATCGTGACACGAGATATTTATATATTAGATTGTACATATTTTATTTTATTGTACATATTTTTTTTCACATCATCAGGTATTTCTAAGATCATATAAAAAAGACATCGAAAACTGCTTTTCTATTAAAAGTGATCTTATATTGATTATAATTACAATAATTTAATAGTTTAAGATGCAACAAAAAATTAAATATAATTTGATTAAATTAATCCACATTTACATATTTATATGCTGATATCCACCTCTTGCTTCACATAGGTTTCCCTAAGAAACTTTACGCGATAAAGAATGGTCTACCTGACGTACTGGGCTGTGTTACGTTAGAATATAAACAATCAATCGAAAAAGGTCGATTTGAATATTCTCCGTGACATTTTTTGACAATTATATAGTCTAAGATCTCCATCTATGTGGTGGAACCCTCATTCTTTTTCCAGGCAAAATAAAGTTTCCAAACAATAAAACACGAACAAACAGTGGGTTTGTTTTTCATAGATTTTTTTAAAGTACAAGAACTCTTTCCCTGTAATAATTTAGTATCAATCGAAAGTAAAAGACTTGTAGAAAATTCCATCATACGGTTGGCGGTCTTTTTCGAATCCACGTTACCTGACATTGTTATACCAAAACATCTTCAGACTAGAGGTTTTTTTATTAAAAATAGCCTAGAGAATTTTTTTTGTGGTAGCCTCCCTGGGTCGTGTTTGTTAATATGTTGATGAGATGAGCGGGATCTCATACTAATAGGTTTTAAATTAAAAATGTTCGCATACTTATATCACATTAAATAATCCGTACAACGATTAAATTATCAAAAAGAAATGTCTCTACTTCCGCTTTAGATGTAGAGCAACTTTTTCTTCTCGTAATAATTTTTGAACATGATTAAGGCAAGGTTATCATTTTATGTTATCAACACATTCGTAATTTAAAGCAAAACCTTTTGTCTGTTTGCCAAATCATAGTCTCCTTGATTTCTTATCAATTTTTAAATGCCTATAAATATTTTATTTACATACTATCTAGGTTCTATGTAAATAGATCTATCTGAAATATATATGTGTGTATTTATATGTATATGTATGAAATATGATCTAACTGCAAGTAAGTTAAGCTTATTAAGTTAATGAAATTAGCATACAGTATTCTTCTTTCTAGAATTAAGATTAGGGTCTCTATATGTCCTATTCTTATTGTGTGTTATAATAAAGAAGATTCATACTTCTGTAATTCTTGTCTGAGTTAAAAGTCAGTGGAAAAAAATAATAGAGTCGGCACAAATTCGGCGTTTATCTGGATCTGGGGCCAATGGGCCGGTCCGTGCACGATCTGATCTCGTAAGGGTCATTCGCCTTTGTTAGTAATATGGTGGAATATTATTTCTATTTGTAAAAAATTAAGTATAACTGTAGTATATCTCACTTTGACTGAAATTTTAAGTACATACACACTCGTTACGGTTTTAAACAATTATAATAAATTAAACTAGATTAATATGTTAATATGGGACTTATATTCAT